CTGTATTTACAGTATACACCAATCTTAAAAGGAAGCCTTTAGACAACCCTCTGTGCCCACCTTAATGATCAATGTACTTTGACACGTACAGATCATTTGATGTCGAATGTGAGAACTATAATAAAGATCCAAGCCCAAAGCACCACTACAGCCTTGGACTTCACCATCCAGAGTGCAAGACAACCCAGTTTCTGTGTTTCAGATGTGTTTCAACAATATTTAAATCCAAAATTTACATTAATTTATGTTCACTTAAAAAAAATGCCCATTTTTTGTGCAGGTAAAAAATATGCATTTACTAATTTTTTTGGAACCTGTAAAGCATTGCACTACAAATCAGCAGAACGCTGGTGCCATGCAGGTCTCCTGCAGAATGTCAAGCCGCAAAGGATGTCGGTACTTGTAGTTCAGTAATTCACAGAACTCTGTGAATGAATGACACGGTCTTGTGGGCGGGACACCACTGTTTCCAAAAAGCGAAAGCTAGTACAGGGAACCTCCCCGTTTGCTGTCACTGGGAGAGAGCGCAGTGGCTGGAGCAGTGGGAGCATGTTACATGTTTCACCCTAAAAACAGGTGAAACATGTAACATGTTCACAGAGGTGAACTTATCCTTTAATGCATTCTCTGCGTTAAAGTAAAAAACCTTCAGAGTCCAGCCCCCCCCCCTTTTACTCACCTGAGTCCAATCTTGATCCAGCAATGTGCCGCGAGAGCAACGGCAATCTCCACTCTGTCCCTCCTTTTTAGCTCAGACATAGCAGTGGGAGCCATTAGCTGCTGTCAGTCACAGCCAGTGATGAGGGGGAGCAGGGGTCGGGGTCGGGGCCAAGCCGTGCTTTGCGTGTCTTATGGACACACAGAGCGCGGCTTAGAGGTGAGCATGATCGAGTGCCCCCATAACAAGCAGCTTGCTGTGGGGCATTTGGTGGAAGGCAGTGGGGGACCCAAGAAGAGGATTGGGGTTGCTCTGTGCAAACCATTGTATAGAGTAAGTAAGTATAAACCTGTTAGTTATTTAAAAAAAAAAATTAAACAATGATCCTTTGCAAGCACTTTAAGGCCTCGTTCACTTTACCGTAAAAATGTTACTGATGTTATAACACAGGAGAAAATTTCCTGCATAATGATCAATAAAACACTTGCGTATAGACGCATTTAAATACATAAGGATGCTTATGTGTACATATTTAGTTTTTAATGATAATTTAATTTTCTCCCTTGTTTAGACTTAGTTTATGCACTTACAAACACTTATACATGCGGTTATATGCATAGGAGCATAAACCACATGTTTTTAGATGCAGATTTTTAGATTCTGTGTTGCAGATCTGAAAGCAGCTCAAGTTTGCGCACCTGTGTGAATGGCTCCATTGAAAACAATGCAGCTGCATTCAGATCCGTAATCAAAACACACTTGTATAAGCAATTTTTTTTTTTATTACTGCTGTGAAGCCTAACAGTCCTAGGCCCTGTCTTTTGATGCACTTAATGATGACTGTACTGGTCTTAGACATATCAAGACTGTGCCCCTATTCTATCCACACTGTTAAAATAAAGGGCTAACTATTTGGATCTGGAGGTGGTTAATTAGAGTTTGGTGACCAACTGGGAACTTGTGCTTACACTATAGATGCTTAAGTAAATCTGAGGCTGCATAGCAAGCACTGCAAAGCATCTGCTCCCACCTTGCCAGTGCTGCTGGCTTCCAAAATCTACAAATGTGGAACCCATAAAAAAAACAATTGTCCAGGTATGAGAAACATGTGCACTGCCCTCTCATCCAGCCGGTGCCACAGTTTTATGTATAATATACCAGGACATTCCCAAGCCCTGGGCAAACACCAGCATTTCAGTTCAGTTGAGGTTTTGGAGGGCTGCTTGGGGGTGAACAGGGAGGTGGTGGTCCTACAAGGTAGGAGGCAGTACCCTAGGATGGCTAGTGTACAGCGCTATGATAACTTTGTTATGTATAAGGATGTTACAGGTCGGATCTCGGGTGCTCTGTTAAGGTTTTGAATACAGTTATGAAAGCATGGAAGGACAGCACTAACAGTGCCTATAATAGAATATGGTATAAATTCACAGGATTGCTGCTGATCAAGGTTTTATACTGGGCTTTTCACAAGTCTGTCACATTCTGAAGTTCCTGCATGCAGGGCTTGATTTTAGCTATCACTGCCTTCACCAGCATACAGTGGGCATCCAACACTTATTTATATTGTTCTCCAAGCTGCAATCTGGTTGAAACCTCCCTAAGGGATTTTTGTTCCCTAAGTGGGATCTCCCATTGGTGTTGGACTTTTTTGCATCAGATGACTTCAATGAAAGTGGTCCCCTGTGGTACCTCTCCCTGAAAACATATTTCCTGCTGGCAATCATAGCAGTCAGTAGCGTGTTAGTATTAGCGGCTTTGGGGTTTTAAGAACCTTTTCTCACGCTTTTCCTAGACAGGGTAGTATTAATGCCGATGCTCGAATTTTTTACTAAAGTGGTCTTCAGCTGTGCTGACATGGGGCTCATCAGAAAAAGAAAATTGTGTATCTGTACATTCAATTTTCCATTTTTCTTACTCCCATTGACAACCAAGCCTAACGCATTATTTAACCCCATTGACGCAGGGCATTTTCTACTCCCACTGACCACAGGCTGGCCCCCTTAAAGTCTGACTGACAGTAATCTGGCCCTTTGTTTAGAAGGTTTTCTGCATGAATATTACAATGAATGTAAGACATTTTGAGGCACATTGTAAAAATCAAACAAAAATACCTTTTTGCTGTATAGTGGTTTAAACAGGTTTACATTTACTTGTAAATACTCATACTGTTTCTACAATTACCTGAAATCTACCATTATATACGTACATATCTGGCAGTCCACTGCAGAGCAAAAATTAGAGCTGAAATGTCAGCTCTGTGACCCAGTCATTCTACATTTCAAGCATTGTTATTGCTGTCATTCTAACATGTCTCATGCACTGGTGACTGGAAGGGAAGCTGTCAGTCTTGATATTGTTAGTGAAAAGAAAATGGGCAAAAAGCAGGTAAACTACAATTTTATAATGTCCGCATGCACAACTTTCTATCAGCCAATCTGCTGTATATGGAGAATGTAGGCAAAGAGAGGAATGGATCATGTAACCTCTCACTGACTGTTTTTCTATTCCAGCCAACACTTAAGCTCATGACAAACAAAAATGCTACACAATCACCTGTCCAGCATTGATGGTGTTCAGGGGCTCTATAGGAATTTTTTAAAATGGGCTCTCAGGAATTTTTTTAGAACTCTCTGCATGAAGGACACACTGGGAGACTCTGGTGGTGTTTGTTTAGGGTGAAGTGATACGGGAACCCCACCATTCTCCCCCAATCTCCTTTCTGTCTCTATACCCTACTACACTCCCATACCACCACTCCTTTTCTTTTGCACCTCACGCTTTTATCTCTATCTTTGTTTGTTATTACTGCAACCTCCTCCCCCCTGGGGTCCTACCGATAACCACCCACCCATCGACCAGATCACCTCCTTATCCCTCCACTCCATCCCTAATATTTGATAAGCTGCTATGTCTCCCATACCTACAGGAAGATCACATACAATTTCATCTTGTTCCTATGAGAGCGACAACAATACCTACATTCTAAATACCTACCTTTCCTTGTTCTTCATAATACTTCAGACCTCTCAAAAGGGGTATACTTGTTACCTATTCAACTAATAACAATTACACATATAATAACAGATACTGACACTGTAGCCTCTACTGGTTGATTTTTCCATGTAAAATTCATAAACCTGTAGGCTGGTTCACACAGAATGCGGTGCAGGAAACATGTGTTCCATATGTTTTTGTGCACTACACTCTATCGCACCACCCTTGCAATCTGCTGTGAGTGCCAATGTATTGTTAATGGCACCCCAAACCCAGATCACAAACGCAGTGTGCTCAGGGGCACCAAATGACATGGTGCAGCATGAACATATGGAGCATTTTTTAATAAAATGCATGCACCACTTTTTCTGCCTTCCGATGTAATTTGCAGCCGATTCAAATGGCCAGTGAAATAAATTGTCAAAATTTATTACATGTGTTTACAAGAGTTCTTTCTGCCAAGTGGCAGGAGGAAAGGCATCTTTGAAAGATGGTCAAAGCGTCCAGTGTGTATGAGGCCTTACATTGGTGGCCAGTGGGAAGAATACCCCTTTGGTGACCAGTGGCAAGAATGCCCCTTAGGTGGACAGTGGGAAGAATGCTCCTTACATTGTTGGTCAGTGGGAAGACTGTCATTCTTACATTATTGATCAATGGGAAAAATGCCCTTACATTGGTGGTCAGTGGGAAGAATGTCTTTTATATTGGAGGTCAGAATGACATCCTTACAGGCAACTAAATACGGTAGATAATTGATAATATAAAGCTGGGCTTCTCAAGTGCCAATGACCTTGGAGCTATGCAGGCATCATCAGAGCAGAGGTCAATCAGTCACAGCTCAAGGAACCCCTAACAATCTTTGAAAAAAACTCTAGGGTTCCCCAGAACCCTGGTTAAGGATGGTTGATTTAATCCCTCCCCACCCAGCCCCAACATCCCTTTAACAGGTTTTTTATGCCTTGGCGGCAGGAAGGACTGCCTGATCATGTGACCACCATTATTGGCTGTCACATTGGTCCTATGATCATGAGCCAGTCCCTCCAGTTCCTGATCAGTACTAGAGATCAAAGTCTTTCAAACTTTGATCCCTGTTGTGGGAGCTTTCAGTGAGTGTGCTGTCAGAGCAGAAGCCTCGGCCGCCCATGGAGACCTGCGCCTGTGGACATTAAAGTCCACCCTCTTTGCCGCTGCACATAGGCGTTGTGTGTGCAGCAAGAGGTTAAGATATGCCAATTTAAAAGTTGTGAATCTCCTGTACAGTAAAAATAAAGTTTATATCTCCAGCTTGTTTAAATTACAGTGAAAAAAAAGTCTATCTTCTGTTCTAATCACTCTTCTTTCTACTCAGGTGGCAGATTTTGATTTCTCTCCTGTCATGGACAAGTATGACACTCTTCCAGAATATAAAGAAATCCCTGCAAGAACATGTTGCACTTACTGCAGGAATGACAGAACTGACGAAAAAACTGAGGAGGAAGCAGAGACTCAGCCCCTGTTATATACATTGTCTTCATCAACTAGGAGTTACACAATGTAGCTCTCATCTGATGCTGGTGCTCTTCTAAAGGTACCCATGCTCAGGTTCAGTAAATCATTCAGTATGGATGATTCTGATCATTCTGAACAACCGTCATCTGACAATGTATGTAAGTGCAGAGATCAGCTAAAAACACGGTACTTGGATGAATGTCTCCTCACTCCAGCCCTTAAGGATGTCAGTCTCCAAGGCAGGAAGTAGTGTGAAATCTCCCCAACAAGGATGTAAGCAACAGTTAAATCTTGACAACAGTTCTAACTGATCTTAACTCTACCCAAAGCAAAGGAAAATTTTCGGCTGGATTTCTACTAATGAGATATCATTTTCGCTGTATATGGGAACCTTAAAAGTTGCCTTAATAAGCTCAGCATACAGCTTAGTACTGTACTCATAGAATGTGAAATTGTGAACATTTTACATTTTTATTAAATATGTGAATGACACAAACAAGATTACATATAGTGTACTGCTTTTTAATGTTCAATTAAGACTGGAAGCAGGAAATGGACACTGTGGCAACTAAGATTGGCATAATAGAAACAGATGGACACATCAAGAGCATTAGATTTAAAATACTAGCACTAGCATTATTACTGCTGTAACAGACCACAATTAGCTACAACTGTTGGAACAATCTCAGGTAAAGTGTCCCCTCCTGGGTAGAACATCCTCATCAAGTGTATTCCCTCTATTTAGCATGGTGGAGCTAAATAGATATTCGCATAATATGGTTACAGCAACAGACATCCATGGTATGCTGGAGCATCACATTTTAGTATACGTAAAACTTTCCTGTTCAGCCATTTTGGCTTTAATTTATTCCTTGAAATGTGCTCTCCTATCAAACACAACTACAATGGTACTTGCCAAATGCGGAACTAAACCCATCCATTTTACGGTTTCAAAAAACAGTTACATTCCTGGCATGCCAGGATTGACAACTGTCACATTGCTTGTGCTCTCAACCAGATTGTCAAACCATCAAATGGCTGGAGTCCCAACTGATCACACATGCAGATGGAGATCAAACAGAAGCTAAGATGGCAGCTTCCTTGGCTGATAAGGATAAGAGAGTTTAGGTCTGTTCATTTTCCGATTGGGTCATTGACAAAAGACATCCTCGGCAGGAAGTGGAATACTGGATTTATGGCTGTAGCAATATGCCATAACCCTGGTATTGTTTATTTTCATTCTCTGATCAAATTGGTCTGAGTGGCGGATTCACTGCTGGATCACTTTTAGAAGCGGCAGGAGTGTCGCCCCCCCCTCATTGCTTCCCAGTGGTTCTCGGCCTTATCTGGATGATCAGTAGCACTGAGAAGCGATCTGGGGGTTTGCGGTAGCTTGTCACAGATATGAGTGGAGGGAATATGGCCTCCACTCATCTCTATGGCCTGGGAGGACCGAAGCAACGTCATGACGTCACTTATGGTTCCGGCCTAATGTAAACAAGGTCATTTTTTTTTAAAAGCACTAGATCAATGCAGTCTCATATCGTAAACGCATAGGTCACTAAGTTATGAAAATTCTCGTAAAACAGAATACAACTTCGGAAGTGATATATGTGATTGTAATTTATTCTTTTGTTTCCGAGCATGGGTGTCCATGGTCACTCAAGTTTTTTGTACAAATACTATACTAATTACACAAATATCGTTTGTTCTGTTATCTTACCAGAAAAATGTTTATGCCTGTCCCTTCAGATATTTTTGCATGAACTGTCATGATCGGTTCTCCAAAGCTGTGTACTAACAAACAGATTAGCAAATGTTCACTCCGAAAGTGTTTTATTTTTTGTCTGATTTTCTCATCATGTGTACTAGGCATTATGTATTTCAACTGGGATTTTTCCCAGTTCATAGTTTTTGCACTCTTTTTAAAAAATATTTTATTTAATACCATCCAATTAATATTTTATTGAATACCATCCAATTAATATTGTGCTTACTGTTGCCCAAAAGATTCCTAGACCTGGAAATTTAATATAGTATCTGTTCTCTTTAATCATTTCCTAATCTAGCAGAGTTTCGCCTCTAGCCAGTTCAGCCAACACTTGTGTAGTATAGTTTTCTTACACATAGAAACCTGTGTTCGTGGCTAGAAATGGTGGCTTTATTATTCCCATTGATGTCTAAGGCTGGCCATACATGGTCAATTGCCGATTGTCGACCGATTTTTAATTTCGAAAATCGGACCTAACAATAATCGGCTAATTTTCACTCTGTTAGTGGGGCAATGGCAGCGGACGATTTTTGTGGTTCCTCCCCATTTAGTTTATCGGGCATGCTGGAAAATTTGTGAAAAACAACAGATTTTCGAAATCATTGGTGGCACCATCAGAATACAGACTGAACAATGTTTTTGATCAAAAAATCATTCAGAATTCGACCCATTTATGGCCTGTTTAAGTAGTTGGACCTCAGCTGCGTCATTTATGTGAGATGACACATTTAACCCTAATTAGTATGTTACAGCTGTTACTGTATATTTACCCATACAGATTCTATCCTATAACACCCCGGTCACATCAAGCCCGGCTTTGAAATCGTGTGACAAATCGCACCTGAAATTGGCATGTCCCCCGACTTTGAAATTGTGCGACTTCACTGTCACATGATTTCAAAGTCAGGCGACATGCCGATTTCAGGTGCGATTTGTAAGACATCTGACACAGATGTTTATGCAAATCGCACCAAAAGTAGAACATGTACTACTTTAGAAATCGCTGAGACTCCGACCAAGTCGGAACCGCACCGATTTGACCGCTGTAATTGCGAACAATAGGGTGTGACTTGCCATACGATTTGCAAGTTGCATGGCATTCAAATTGCACCGATGTGACCGGGGTGTTACTGACTTCAGAGAATCACTTATTTAATGCTGATGTAAGACAAGATTTTCTAAATGCACTGCAGTCTTCTAGATCCATTATTCAGCTATAGTTGACATCAAACCAAGATTCGGTTATTCTTTAATAAATTATATTCTTTTTCTATTATAAAGCAATGACAGCTCATCAAGTTTGTTTAAAAAATGTTTTATTTTAACCATTTTATATCTTTGCATTTAGTCATCTGTGGAGAATACCGATCAACAGGACAACATAGAGATCAGCTGACTGTTTCAGCCCTGGTTCACATATATGTGATTTATAATGTGTTTTGTGCAAAGTGATTCAGGCAACATTGGGAATTGCATGTGTTTCTTTGTAAGGTGTTCACATTTGAGCCACAGTGCAAATTTAGAAAAGGGTCAACTTTTGGACATTGCAATGCATATTTGTGCTCTGTGGAGGTCAATGGGACTACAAAACCTGAGTGATTTGGCAATGCATATGTGTGAACCTAGGCTGACTTAATATTTTCAGTGCCAGGGGTCATAAATGATAGTTTCTTTACTTAACTGTACTCATGTATTCATTAGGGAAACAGATCATCAACTGCTGGAAGAAAGCAGCTCATGATTTATCTAAACCTTCCCCCCCATCCATCACTTATTCCTGGAAACCAATTGTGGAGACTGGAATGCACATTTTGAGGGATCCATGATGCCTTTCTTTTTACTAGTTCTTGTCTGAAAACAGCTTGAATGCAAAGAGACCAATATTTAAACCGTCCTGGGTCTGTAATGCCAGATTTTAAATCACATGGAAATAAAAGTCTCAGAAAGAAAAGGTTTGTATTTGCACTTTTGTATTGTGTCACAGGCAAATCTTAAGGAGATCTGGATGGAGCTCTTGTCTAGCTAGAGTCCACCTTCTGTTATGGGTGAATCATCTTCACAGCCAATACCTAACCTATTTGTCTTGTGTGCAGTGAACTCTATTTGTCACTTCCAGACACACATTTCTTATGCACACCAATATTTTGTACCTATGTGCTGACTCCACTCCTCAAACCATATCAACTACCAAGGATGGTTTCTTCCATGCCTGAGAGTCCAAACCTAGAATCCAGAAGTCATGTATATCTTCCAAGTATCTAGACATATCTCCTTACCCTCATCTTCTAGAGTCCTTTGGAAATGGGAGTACAATCCACTATCCTATCCAAATCACTATCAGATCCAAATCTTATCCTATTACACCTTTTTTGGGTACCTTGGAAATTCTGAAATTAAGTTTGCTAGAATAACACGTGAAACTGTTTAGCATGGAATTTTTGATGAGGTGACGAACAGTACACATTAAACCACCAACTGATATACATTTCTGGGATTCTAGATGACTTACAAATATTCACACCTAGTTCAAACAGCGCATCTGTGTGTTAGATTCACATTATACCCAAGTGAGACATTCCTTCTGTTGGGACCATATGTAGACACTGGATAGACTGAGGTTGTGAGATGTAAATGAAGGTTTAAACAGAGATGATGCCAAAAATAAAAATCACAGAACATAGAGGATTTAAAACAAAAGCCTTTATTTACCTGTTATTATTTGAAACATGAAAGTCAAGATCACAGTGCTGTATAGCAGACTGAAACACCACAGAAACCTTCTTTAAAGGGAAACTGTAATTGTTCTTAGGCCATTTTTAGGTTAGCATGTGCTTAAACTGATATTTTATATTGTTCACATTTATTTTTATATTAAATCTTTAAATTACAAAAGCATAATTCATACAGGATGTATTAATGGTACTACTGTGTCACACAGCATTATACATAGTCTAATGCTGCAGAAGGTGTCTGCTTTAAGACAGGCTCTCTCTAACTGAAAGTCTGTAGGAAGCACTACAGAGGATAGAGGGAGGGGGAGGAAGGGGGGGTGCCTATTCTCTTATTTATTTAGGTAGGTGTCCAATATAAGCTTGAGCTATTGAACTTTTGAAATAAGATTTTCCTGCAAAGCAGATAGGAGTAGACTGGTACACAATTGAAAGAGAGCCTAGAGCTCTACCTGCTGGCTGGAAATGCTACAATGGAAACATTCCTATGCAATATTTTAATTCCACAAATGTATGCAGTATTTTATATTTACTAGATATAATTTTTTT